TCAATCCTGAGGGCAGAGTGGAGGAGGGAACTTGTGCTTGGCTGTGCTGGGCCTTTGCTGTGGTGTCACTGTTGGTTCTCAAATCGCTGTCCAGGAACATCGAGGAGATCCTGGCAGCCAAAGGGGAGAAGGTGAGACGTGTGGCTGGTGAGGAAGCTCTGGAGTTGCTGCTGGAAAGCTCAGCAGAGCCCGAGTCCCAAGGTCAGCTGGCAGAGGGGGACAGCAAGGAAGCCCCCCCAGAGCCTGGCAGCAAGGGACAGACCTGACACATGGGGCTGTGACCTGTGGGACAGACCTGACACGTGGGATTTGGGTTGCCCTGCTGGTGCTAAGAGACTCTTTACTTTCATTCCCTGATTTCCACAGTCTGTATTTAAAATAAACTTGGGTGTGGGTTTTTCTCTGTCGTGTGTCTTTGTCCTGTGTAACTTTGCCTTTGATTGAGCTGATGGCTTTAGAGACGGTGTAGGTATTTTTCCTGGTACTTGTTTTGCTGACTTTGAGGCTGTTTTCAGTGCTCCAGCAGTACCCAGAGCCCAGCTTTGTTCCCTGCTCAGAAGGCAGCCAGAAATTCTTTGTGTGATTTTGGCATAACAAGGTGCAGCTGGAGCTGGAGGTTTCAGGGATGTCCCCTGCCCTTCCCAGGCATTGTGGAGCTGGTGGAGGTGCATCCCATGGCAGCTGAACAGAGGGGCAATTGATACCACCTGAGGAGGTGAGTCCCAAATTCCAAAGCCAAAATGGTCCCACAGGAGGGTGAGCAGCTCTCGCTGCTTTGCTTTTATCTGTCCTTTGCCATCTTCCAGAGTTTTGTTGCTGTGCCCCTGGTGTCAGGGCTGAAAGTTCTGTATTTTGGGGTTACAGTATCCCACACTCGGGGACCCCACTCGGGCTCCTTGCTGGGGAGGATGGGTGTGAAGGCAAAACTAATAGCTGTGGAGCATGCTGGAGAGAAGTAGAGCACCTAGAAAGCTGCCTTAGAATTCACTGGAAAATATTGAGGGGCTTTTTAGTGCTACTGATGCATATTAAGATTAGTAAGAAGAAAAATAATAAATGAAAAATGTAGGTGTTTGCAGCACTCAGGTAGTGGTGGATCATCAGTGAGATGATCATGTTGGACTTTGTTAGGGCTTGTTTCCTCTGTACAGTGAAGTAGCTGCTTTGTTATGGTTTTGAACTTGCAATCAAAGACTAATTTAGGGTGAAAGAGCTCTCTGGAGGTTTCTAGTCCAACCCCCTTGTTAAAGGAGGATGTTCAGGGTCTCTGAGGGTGGAGATCCCTCAACCTCTTTGGATCCCCCCTCGTTAGAGAGGCACAGAAGGCAGTAAAACCCCTCTCGGCCTTTGTGTCTGGGGCTGAGCAAACCCCTTTCTCTCAGCCAGTCTTGTCCAGCTGCTCATGGTCCTTAATCAGCCAAGGATTCAGTGAGGGCATTGTGTGCATTAATGACTTTACTTCACCAGAAGTGTTCATAGCAATTTTATATGTGTTGCATTGTAAGTATTGGGTCAGAGTAACAGGAAAATTGTCATGTTGCTGTTGGTGTATCAGTTCAGAGTGATGAAACAGGGGCAGGACCTTCACCAGCCAGCTCGTGTGTGCTCAGACCCTGGTGAAATACAGCTCTCCCTGAAACAACAGCTGCTGGAGAGATCCAGTGTTGAGAAACAGGAGTCTTGCATCTCCGAGCACTGCTGTGTGCTCACCCTGTGCTGAGCTGTTGGCACCTATTAGCACTGCAAGAAAAGTGCTTATTTTATTACCTTTAATCTGAAAATCAGCATTCTGCTTCCATGGTGCTGATGCCTTTGATGGGGTGGAACAGAGCAGCTGTTGCAGGATCTGTGTTGCCTTGGAAACAACTCATTTACAACCTGGCTTTTTTTGGCTGTTTTCCTTACCTTTCTTACCTGTTACTGTGCTCCAGCTACAGGAAGGTGGTGCTAGTTTTTGCTCTGTTATAGTAAAAAAATGTAGCAAAACCTGTGTTGGCCATTCCTGTATTTTAGTCTTTCCCTGTCCCATGGTCCTCTGGCACCTTGTGCCTCTGCAACCCCCAGCTCTGAGCAGGGAGGGCAGCAGTTCTTGCTGCTGCTCTGAAGGTTCAGGCCAACATCACATGAGGGAATTTGCATGTAACACAAAAAATATTTGCTGCTAAGAGATTCCAAGTAAAAAAAGGAATTCTGTGCTCCCTTTTGAAGCGGGTTTTTCTGAAAAATGTTGTGTCCTGGGGCAGTGGGTTTGCTCTGGAAGGGGGACACAGGTCTGTCTGGGGAGAGCCCAGCAGAGCTTGGTTCAGCCAGAAATGAGGAGTGGGGAGAAGCAGCTTTTCTCCTGAACTTGTAGGTGTGTCAGGATGGGGAAAAAGTGCTGTGAAGGCCCAGTGGAACAGGAGACAGACTGAAGGAGCAGAGGAGAGAGACTGTAGGCACAGCTGACCAGGGTAAGTCTTTGGGACACAGAGGGGAGGTGGTGATTTCCAGGGGGGCAAAGCAGCAGTCCCAGGGCAGCAAACAAAACTGTTTGCACATTATTTGACACATTCCACTGTGGTTAAGGGATGGATCCTGTTCCTGAATCCTGTCCCAAAAGGGCTTTTCTGCAAAAGGGCAAACACTGCCTCATTTTCTGACTCTGTAGTGCTGCCAGTGTTTACCCAGCAGAGCAGGACTGTGCTGGGCAGTGTCTGTCAAATGGGGGGCACTGGGTTCTGGGACCAAGGGTGGTAAAGGGGGCTGAGATGGGGTCCTATGGGGCTGGGAGTGAGTAGCTGAGAGCCTTTCCAGCTGAGGAATATCAGTGAGGGCTGGAGCAGCAGCACAGTGAGGCTCTGGGGAGGCTGAGGGAAGTGTGGGGCCTCAGCCCTGAAGTGACTTGGCAGTAAAAAAAAAAATAAAATCTCCCCAGGCCTGACATCAGCCCTGCCCTGCGAGTGCCTCGGCTGGGTAGGAGAGGGCAGGATCTCACGTTCTGCTGGGTTTTGAGAGTTCTTCATGAAGAGGATCTGCCCAGCACCAGGGACAGCCTCTGGTCTGAGTAATTCGCTCCACAGCTGCAGCAGCAGCACTGCACGGCCCCGGCAATCCCGCGGCTCTCCGGCGGGTGTCAGCATCGGAGAGCTCTTCCTGGCTTGGGATCGAGCTCTGGGGGCGTGGGAGAGGGAGAGGTTCAGCAGAGCAGCCACCACTGCGGGCTCTGGGCTGCCCTGGAGAGACAGTTGTAGCCAGTGCCTCCAGACAAACCAGCGTGTGCTGCCTTCCCCAGAGCTGAGGATGGAGAGACAGGAGGTGAGACCCCATCACTCATCCACAGGGATGGCATCTGCTCCTGGGAATCTGAGCCTGCACACACAGACTTCTGGCACAGAACTACTGCATGGAGGCACCCAGGTCTGAGGATGGCTCTTCCTGGATCTTTGCTCAGGACTGGCAGTGGCCAGCACGACTTAGCCAGGCGTGGGAAGACCAGCTCGGACTTGGCTTTATCCTCACATTCAAACTCTGCTGCTCCCAAAGTGCTTTCTAGCACAGTCCAAGAGCCTGCTCATGCCTGCTGCTGTGTGAGTGTCCTCTCTGAGGGCTGGTGCCAGGGCTGTGCAGTGCCCTCGCTGCCCTGGTGCCCTGGCAGCTGCTGGGGGACAGCACAGCTCTGGGCCAGGCGCCGGGGAGGCACCGAGACGGGCAGGGCCTGAAAGGAACGGCCTGGCCTTTCCTCGGCCTTTTCCAGGGGTCTTTTCTCACCATGCAGGGCTGCTCTGCCTGCCCTGTCGTCCTGGAAACTTCTGGGCAGGGAATTCTCAGGGCTTTGTATCTCCCTCCACAGCCACATCCATGCTGGAAGGCAGGCAGAGCTGGAACAGGGGCTGCTTCCAAGAGATCTGTGTGCTCTCAGTGTAAAGGGTGTGTAGGTGGGTGCACACACCCTTTTGTTAACATGTGGGGTGTCTGTCACCAGAGACCCCCCTCCCCACCCACCCCCATTCCAAAGGGCCAGGATTAAGCCCTGCTGTCAGCCAAGAAATAATGGAAATGAGTATTTGCACTGAAGCTTAGACACAAATATTTATTAAGCACAACCCCCCCACATCCCTTCCCCTTGAGCTGTATTCATTTCTAATATATTAATCCATTTGGCAGATTATTTTTTAGAAAAAAAACAAGTACCTGTGGGTTGGAAATTTCCCATTAAAATGACATTAGCAAATGCACATGTAAAAAATAAATAAGCTCATACATTCAAGTATATGGCAAATAATACCTCAATAATACCTCTGAAAGCTTAATGGTCAGATTCCAGTTCACCACCTGGCTGAGAGCTGCACAGGCCCGAGCCTGCAGCTGGTCAGGTCATCATCATCATCATCAATGTTTTCCTCTTTTACAAATGCCAGCTTGGCTGGTACAAAGGTGGCTGGGCAGGTCCTCCTCTCCCTTCTCCAGAGCTCTTCCCAGCCCCAGGAAGGAGGCCCAGCCTTGGCCAAGTGGTCCGTGCAGCAGGTGAGTGCTCCCAGGTAGCAGGTAAAATGCAGCTACCACTCCACATGGTCAGTGCAGGCAGGGAAAATGCCCCATGAGCAGCATCACTGGTCTAAAAACATCTCGCTGCTGGTTGGGAATGCTTCCAACAAACGCATTTCAAACAGGAAGTGTTGATTTTATTCTCTACAGGAACGTCGCTGCTTCGGCACAACTCGGTGCTGCAGTTTCTGAAGTCCAAGATAGTCTCTGGTCAAGCGAAGGGAAATACTGCACCTCCTGAAGTCAGGTCCCTGCTCCCCTCCTCCAGCTTTCCCAACTGGTCCAAAAGGGGAAGGAATGACAATAAATGTGGCTGGGGCTCCCCTGAGGCTCCAGGTATTGGAGCTGGGTGGGGCACAGCCACGGTGCCTTGCCCGGAGCAGCTCTGCCAGGGCCAGGAGCAGCTCAGCACTGGTGTGGGGAGAAACACAGAGGCTGAAGGGCCATTATCCTGAGCTGCTGTTGGACACAGAAGGACAAGGACAAGCTGTGGGCAGAAAGCTTTGCTGGCTGTCGAAGCGGGTCCCTGTCACACGCAGGTTCTGCCTCAGGCACCCTCACCTGCCTGAGACCTTGGCTCAGTGGCACCAGTGCTGCCCACATTTGCCATGGGCTGAACACATGAACAGAGACCTTCCCCTTCCCAGGCACAGCCCCTGTCCTGGGCCTGCACAGCTGGCTGAGCTCCAGAGGTGACAAGTCCCACTAAAGCTCAGGGTGAGTGAGGCTTTGCTCCTGCCCAAGAGGTCCCAGGACAGCTCCGCCCAGAGCTGGGGAAGCAGGGAGGTGTCCAGGGCTCTGCAGAGTCCTCAGCAAACCTAAAATACACTCAGGTGTGTGGGACAACGATGCAGCTGGGGTGGGTTAAGATTTAAAGAACTGGTATGGCCTCAGACTTGGGCTTATTTTCTCCTGTAGAAGGAACAAAGCTGAGCAAGATGTTCCAGGGAAGGATCCAGAGTCATTCGTGTCGCCTCGTGATGCAGGCAGTACAGGAGGCCTTCAAAATGGAAAAGGTGCTCTTCCCTTCCCCCATTTAATTAAAAGTGTTGTGGAAATAAAAGACATCAAGGCTGGAGTTAACTACCCCCTCTGGGCTCCTACAAGTTCCTGGGTTTTTAGGTGATCAGCAAAGGGGCTGCCAAAGCCTTCCCTCGTGCCCAGTGTTACAGGGGCCGTGTGTCCTAAAAAAACCCCTTGTTTAAAAATTGTGCCCCATATCCATTGGGCCTTCCCGTAGCAACAGGATGGAGGTGCAGCTCCCACACCCCTGGAGTGGCTCCTGGGACAAGTCTGTGGTAGCACAGGAGCCCTCGGGTTTGAAACCACTCACTTTTTTTTTCTTAAAAACAAAAAAAACCCAAATAAAGCCAAAACAACCCCCCCAGACCAAAGCCCAGTTCTTAGCTGGAACCAGGCCTGTGCTGCTCCTCCTCAGCCTCCTCCTGGGCCGAGGCCAAATCCACCCGCTGCTCGTCCATGCGCTTGGCCTGGACACGCTGGATGAGGCTGAAAAAGTCTTCGTCCGGCATGGTGGGACCCCGGGGGATGGAGTCAGGGGGGGCACAGCGCTGGTCATCGATCCTGGAGGACTGCACGGGGGGAGAGGGGCGTTAGGGTGGGGCAGGATGACAGGGAAGGGCTGGAGCAGAGGGGTCCGAGCTCCCGTTCCCCCCCAGCACGGGTACCTGACACTTCATGAGCATGTTGAAGAACTCGTCCCCGGGCTCCTGGGCGTCCCCCTCCACGCGCAGGTGCCCCAGGTTGTTGTGGGTTATCCGCAGCCCCGGCAGGTTGCCTACGTTGGCACGTTGGTCATCCAGGCGCCTGCTCTGGGAGCTGGCGATGAGGTCGAAGAACTCCTCTGTCTGCGGAGATGCCATCAGGGCAGACTGTGCTGTGGGGACAGGGCAGGGTCACCCCTCTGCCTGCAGAGCCCAAATCCTCCTCACCAAACCACTGTCCAACCCACCTCCCACACAGGCAAAGACCCAGAGGCAGCACAAGGGGGAAGGAGGTGCCATGACAAGGTGAAAAGCAGAACCTCACACCCACCTCCCCCTGCTGGACCCCCCGAGGGGCTCTCTGCCACTCACTGCGCTTGGTCAGCTCCTGGAGGCCACCAAAGGTGCCACCTCAGCCCAGGAGACTCAGTGCCCCCACCTTAACCACAGCCTGGGTGTGATCACTACAGCACTACAGGCAGCTTCCACTGCTGCTTCCACTCTGGTTCCCAGCTGGAGCCAAGAGGCACCAGGCAGACACTGGCAATTGCAGGTGAGCACAGAGTTCCTGAGCGCTGTGACAGGCGCCTGCACAGTCCTGAGGGTCAGGAATAATTCCAGACAGCTACTCAGCAAAGCCCAGGCCTGGCCGAGCCTTCCACTTGCCAGCACCTTCCCAGGCCCCCCAGAAGCCCAGCCTGCTTGGGCCAGCTGGAGGAGAGGCTGCCAAGGTGAGTCCCTAGCCTGGGATAGGGTTGGCACAGCCTGGTGCCAGGGGTCCCAGTCCAGAACCAGTACACATAATCCACCCTCTATAGACCCTTTGGAAATGCATCACTGGAAAGAGCCTGTTGGCTCCTGGCAGCTTCTGGGCAGGGAAGGGCTCCCAAACAACAGACATTGCACTCAGACAGGGGCAAGCAAAGGAAAGCTGTAAGAAATCCAGCCTGACTGGTGTTCCTGTCCCACTGAGCCCGAAGCACTGGGGCAGAGGCTGCCCTGAGCCTCTCGACACAGCGAGCTCGCCTTGGAGCCCCAGCTCATGGAGCTGCAAAAACACAGGAAAATCTCAGCCCTGACGCAAAGATGAGTTTCTTCCCCTTCAGCTCACGAAGAATCCTTCAAAATAACACGTCCAAAAGGCTCAGAGCCCAAATGAGCCAAACAGAACAAGTGCCTGCTTGTGCATTCTTTATAAAGCTCCGTATTTTAAACCCAGTCTCCTAAATTACACAGCTGTTACAGCCAAATGCATTTCTGTGTCAGAAATGCATCTTTTGACAAAGTGATGCTTATTTCCACCCTATTTTTAGATGATAAAAGCCCTCTCACCTCACAGCCAACCTGCCTTCTTGACCTTCTCTGCACAGCTCTGCTCTCGCTGCCACTTCAGCCCCCGCCCCTGCCCCTGCTCCTTCTGCCCAGCTCTGAGGGGTGTCAGGGGTCTCCTCCTCTCCCGTTTGCACTTTGGAGTCTTTTGGAAACATAAACAAATCCCTCAGCTCAAATGGACTTTCTGGAGGCCTTTGTGCCAGTGATTAAGCGTGGAGTGTGATCTGTGCATTTCAGAGCTGCTCTCCAGCTTGGGTTAAACAAAGGCCGTCAAGACCAAAAAACCCGAGTGCAAACACAGCCCTGCCTTTCCTGTCCCATCTGTTTGTCAGGCGCCTTCCTCAGTTTATCCCTGCTCTTCCTGGGGGTGAGCTCGCTGTCTGCCTGCTGGAGCTTCCCACTGTTTATCCATCCCTCTGGCTCCTCTGTCCTTACACAGCACCTATCACCACAGCATCCAAGAACAGTACAAAATCCAGAAGTTTTTCCTCCATGGCAACACTATTACAAAAACTGGCAGTATTTTAACTTGCCTGAGAAAGCCTGACCCAGCCCCTGCACGCCCCAGGTTCTTACAAGGCTCCCTCAGCCGTGACCATCATCTTCCTCATGGAAGTGGCAGAAGTCCCCATGCCAACCTCACCATTCCAAAGCCAAGACCTAAAGATCCACACTGGAGGAATCCAAGTGCATTTTCCATTTCTCTTCCTAGTTTACTCCCCAAGCCTTAGCTCACATTCTCCAAGCCTTTCCCTCAGCAACCATTAACATAAGAATGTCTCTTCCTTCCTTAAATAATGAGGGAGATTGCCAAGGAACTGCTAAGTTCAGAGAGCTGAGGCTTAGGGAAAACATCACGGGATCCACAGTAAACCACAACAGCTGGCCAGGCTGCGGGAGCAGCGACACTCCCACAGAAACAGTGCCTTAGAAACGCTCGGGTGCTCACATATCCGCTCTCCCAGGGCAGGCACCGGGGTGGCAGCTCCCTCCGCAGCCTCCGACGGGCACTCCTCCAGCGGGCAGCGCTGATCATCCATCCGGTTGCTCTGGAACTTGCTCAACAGGTCAAAGAAGCATTCCTCATCCGAAGGGGTCCGGTTGATTTTCTGGGAAGAGAGTGGACAGAGTCAGAACACCCCGATCAGCTCCAATCGCCCCGTCTGGTGCGGATCAGGAATGGTCGTGGCCTCTCCTGGTCTGTTCAGAGGCTGGTTCCTGGCTGTGCCCTTGGCTTGCCAAGCCCCCCAGCTGGGAGCCTTTTGGGGTCACTGCTCCTTGGTCCCTCTGATCCCAGAGGCTCCAGGCACTTCCACAGCCCAAAGCAGAGCCCGGCTCCCACCAGCACGCGGACGAGCCTCACGCTGAGCAGTCGCTGTCACTGCAGTGCCTCGAGCACCCAGAGCAAACTGGAGGCTGAAGGGGAAAGAGGGGACAAAAGGGGACAGCATTCCCCAGGCACTGCTCTGTGGGGAGCTCCTGGGCTGGAAAGGGCTGGGCTCAGAGAGGGATGAAGGGGAACTGTGCAGCCACCTTGGCTGAAGTGCTGCTGAGTGCCCAGCTGGGGCTCAGCCCGAGCTCAGGGTTTGCTCTTCCACCAGCTAAATCCAACCCTTCCACACTGCCCCTCACACCCCAACGCTTCCCTTCAGTGCCCCCATGTCCTCAGCACAACACTTGTAACAGTCACCCAGCTGAAAATGCCACTAAATTACAGTTTTTCAGGACAGCAGCGCTTACACAAGAGCCCCAAATGAGCACCTTGCACTGGGCAGGGATATATTTAAGTCGTGCTGCAGGAGGGCTTGTGTTGGAGGCCACCAGTCCAACATCCAGTTCCAGCACAGAGAGGGGCTGCGTGCCCTGAGAGCAAGCCCAGAGCAGCAGGAACAACAGACCTTTCCAAGGAGTCCCTTGGAATGGGAGATAAAATTAACCAGCGATAAGAGGGGCATCTGCCAGGCTCGGGGACGGTCCCTGAGTGCCGAGCTGGTCCCACCAGTTGCTGGAAAAAATACCACAACAGAAACCAACCAAAACCTCCTACAACTGGGTCTGTCTGTGCTATTTTCCAGCACAGAGTCTGGGCAGGAGCACTGGATCCCTCCTGGGGGGCAGCACATCGTGCCAGAGAGATGGCGAGGGCACAGGGAGAGCCAGCCCCGAGTGCCAGACTTTCCAGCGGAGAAGGGATCCCCTTGGCTGCTGCTGAAGCAAAGTCCCTCTCCCAGCTCTGCTTGTGGCCACTCTGGGCAGCCTGGGAGCCTTCCCAATCCCACCACATGCAGTGCCATTCCCAGCAGAGCTCTTCCCTGGGGCAGGGGCAGGCAAAGCCCTTCATGGGAGCTCTGCAACGGGAAGAGACTTGTGCTGACAGGGTTAAAGCCACAAGTTGGATTCAGTAAATGAAGGAAAACAATTTTCCTGTATGCCAAGCGAAGCAGATGAGATGCTCTCAGCTTCTATTTAGGGCAGCGTCAAAATTAGCAGCGGGCCAGAGAGGAACATTAGCAATGTGGGAGCTGATCGGGGAGGGGAAAAACCCCTCTCACCTCCCTCCACGTGCTGATCTGTTCATGGATCCATCCTCTGAACCATCAACAGTTGCACCTTGGAAATCAAAGCTTGAACCGAGGGTGAACTACATCTCTCACAGCTCTGCTGTGTCAGGCTGTGTGACCCAAATTTCAGGCTAGAGGAGGAAGCAGCTCATTCACACCGAGCCTCCCTCCAGCTTCCCCACAACCACACGGAGTAAATCAGAGCCTGGATCCACGGGACAAGTTCCCCCTTGCAGGAGCAGCCTGACAGTGTGTGGCCAGAGCCCCCAGCTCAGGGCTTCCCCCAAAAGACACAGATTGCCCTGGGGCATGTCCTGCCAGAGACCCTGCGATTTGGGGTGTTGGGATCCCTGCTCGCAACGTGGCTGGGAGAGGAAAGGATGCTCTGAATCAGCAGGAAGAACAGCCAGTAGTGCATGGAAGTGTGGGATGGGGCTGGCTGTGTGCCCAGGTACCTCCTGGTATGGTGGCACCCGAGGGGCAGGAGGTCAGTGCCCCTGGGCCATGACTGGGGCTCACACGTGCTGTGCCAGCCAGGACGGGACATTGGGAGCCTCAGGGCAGCACCTGAGGACACCAGGCTCCCTCCAGCACTGCCCCAGCCAACCCCTGCCCCAGGCCTGCACCTCTCTAATTAAAATGCCCAAATGTGACAAGGCAGGGAGTGCTTGGCTCCTTCCCTCCCAGCCTGCTCCAAGCCCCGAGGCAGGAGCTGCGAGGGCAGATGGAAGTGTGATCACACCCCGGGGCTCACCATCTGTGCTCGCCCGGGGCTTGGCACATCCAGGGCATCCCCACACGGGGCTGAGCAACAGCCATAGGACAGACATACACACCAGGCACCACGGGCCCAGGTCCCTAAATGCTTCCTGGGCACCACCTTTGGTTTCCAGCCCCAAGACTCACCCCATAGCTCGTGTCCCTGGCTGGGACATCCTCTGTTTCCAGCACTGCAACTGCCCAAATTCTGCCAACTGTCACCTTCCTGTGGTCAGCCAGATGCTGTCACAAAATTAAAACCAACCCTGTCTGCACGGGGCAGAGGGACCTGGGGCTTTTGCTGGCACCCACAGCCCAGGGGCTGCTGGAACAGCAGAGCTCACCCCGGGGCAGATCTGGCTGCAAACACTCACCCTCAGCACACACACACCTCTCCCCATGAGGGGACAAGGACAAGTGTGAAGCCTCTTCTCCCTGACCTCGGGAAGACAGTGACAGCTCCATCCCAGGCAGGTGGAGGTCCCATTCATGGGGGTCAGAGCTTTGTTCCCATTTTCTGAGAGTGGTATTCCCACCTGGACACTGTCAGCTCATCACGGAGCTGAGCAACCTGGCTTGGGACAGCCTGGGAGCAGGACTCTCCCTCCTGACACACTCTCTCTCCTGGAAGGCATCCAGGCTTTTGCATACATTCCCTTGCTGGTGGATGAACAGGCTGTTTAACCTGCCTGGGTGGATTCAGGATGTGCAAACCACAGCTGAGGTGTTGGAGAGGCAGCGAGGAGCAGATCCTGCTGCCACTCCCCCCTCTCCCTGCAGGACGGGACCACCGGCTCTCCAGGAGGGCTTGGGAGTCCCTGCAGGTCACTGCCCTGTGGAGGAGCACAAACCCACCCTGTTTCCTCTCTGATAAACTCTCACTCACACCAAATAAGGTCCTGGGCTGCCCAGCTCTGCCCAAGACGTGCAGGACACGGAGAAGAATCTCTTGGGGAAATGCCTCAGTCCAGACACTCTGGATGTGCAGGTGAAGCCGAGGCTGAAGCGATCCTAGGAAAGCCAAAAAAAGTCAAACCAACTCCTGTGCCTAAACCCCCTCAGCTATTTTCACTTGGAGTCAGGAAAGCCATTAAACAAAAGCAGAAGACCTAGTTGCAGGAACAAAAACCCCTTCCCAGCTCCCAACACCTGAAGTCACAGCCCACAGATGCCTCGCAGGGCTCCCACCCTTGGAGCCGCTGCCCACCCGTGAGAGCCTTTCTCTGACACATTCCCATTCCCAAGCCACATCCCGGGATCAGCACCCTGTCCCCAGTCTCTCTTTGGCCCCTCAGCAGCCCATACCCTCCCAGGGTATGGGGGGCACCAACAACTGCTGTCACAGGTACCCTCAACCCAACGCTCCGGAGGTGGCGGCTTCTCCCAGAGCTTCCTGCTGCCCCCACAGCAGCTCGGGATGCAGCTCTTCCCACATTTGCTGCTCAGCCCCACCAAAGTCTATCTGAATCACTCCCAGGCTGCTCTGGGACAGGGCTCCAGAGACCCTCAAACACCGTCAGATCTTTCTGTGCTGGCCAACCCATGGCACATCCACCAGTGATTCCATGGGGGAAACATCCCCTTCAAAAGGAGCTTCTCCCACCAAACCAAACTGCCGACGCTCTCGTGAGCCACCCAAAGGGCCAAACATTGTCCCTCAGTCAGATCAGCTTCTCCCCCCACAGCTGGTGTCCCCAGGGCACTGACCTGCCTTTGGTTCCCCTCCTGTCCTCCCGGCTCAGCTTCTTGCAGACCTGCCCCGATGCAGGAAGGAGCCGTCAGGCTCAAGGGCTGCTCTGCCCAGCCCTCCGAGGGGACCTGCAGGCAGGACCTGCTGCCCACCAGCCAACAGATCCCAGTGGATCTGGCACAATGGATCCACCTCAGGAGCTCCTGCTCGAAGGCATCTGGTCAGTGGCCGGGTCAGGGATGAGCGAGGACGGCAGCGGGTTCAGGGGTAACGCAGCTGTTTTCACTGCCCCCCCCTCAGAACACTCTGCCTTGGCATTTATGTGTCCACCACAATTCCACCTTATTTCAGGGAGGAGACAACCTGGAGATGTGACCTGCCCTCGTCCTGCAGAGATGCAGTGGCAGAGCTGGGGCAGGAGCCAGCGACTGGTCCCCAGGGTCAAGCTCTCCCCGGTGGACAATCCTTGGAAAACCGTGCCCCTTGTTCTGGCAGCATTATGTGCCCAGGGCCTGGTAGATATTCATTCCCACACATCCACGTCTCTGTGCCATGCCTTATCTGTCTCTCCCTCTGTGAACCAGATGCACCATCACTCCTCATCTTTGCTCTTTCCAAGGCAGCCGACCTCAAAACCCCCAGGCAGGAGCGGGGCTGGTGGTGCTGGTGACCCCCAGTGCCAGGGCACCTTCTCCAGGGCTGCCCCGCTGCCTGTCAGTCCCCTGCACGTGGCTTTTCTTTATCCTGTATCACCCCAACACCTCACCCTGGAGACCCCACTGTGGGGGCTGCACAACCCCAACCCATCGGGCTCTGAACCTCCCCACCTCACCTGGTGAAGGGCAGCGAGGGGGAGGTTTGCAGAGAGCTCCCGAACGGCAAGTGGGGGCTGGAGGAGAGGAGCGGAAGGAAATCCCTGCCTGAAAGCCACAGCCTGTTTCCCCGGGAGCTGAAACGCCTGGAGCACCATCTCTCAGGGGCTCTCCCAGTGCCTGGCCAGCAGCACCTCGGCTGGAGCCTCCACTCCTTGACGAGCCAGTCATCTCCAGAATCAGCAGAGCTGGAAAACTCGCCTGGTCCTTGCTGAGGACACCACTTC